ACGTTACAAACAAGTCCTCTAACATGGTTTGGGAGTGAGTCAGTGCATGTCGTAGAAATCACCTCAGGAAAGTATTTCACAAAGAAAAGTCATTTTGAGTTTTGGCGTGAAATAAAAAAGTCATGCTATAGGGCAGCTGCTATAGCTCACCTGGTTGAGCTGGTGTCCTATGTGTAGGGCTACAGTCCCAATGAAATAAAATTTTTCACCGGGTCTGATGTACATGGCAATTTTGGTGAGTTTTCGAGTATGTTTAGGGCCTCAAAAACGCGTGTCTTTGGCACGAATAATAATAATAATCCGAGCAGTTCCAATAGGGTCTTCGCACCCTTTTGGGTGCTCGGACCCTAATAATGATTTCAAAAAAAGACGTAAAAATACAAAGTCAGAGAATAAAGAGAAAAAGGAGGTTAAACATCAGCCTGTTTCATGATCAGAGTTTTGTATGAACCTTTATTGACACATTTCCTCTGAGATACATGTGAGATGTGTGTCCGCCCCCTGGTGGGCGCTTCCTGTTACTGCAGATTTAATTGTGTGTGAGCGATACCGGAGTGTTTCCATCAGGAGACGACGTGCAGAACGCGTCCGTCAGAGAAGTTCAAGCTTTAAATAAAGTCAGAACAGATACCAAACGTTCATCATCATAAAACATCAGACTCAGTGTCCTGAACTCGTTCTCTGTGACGTGTCATTAACTCGGAGCTTCTGGGGAACCTTCAGGGCTACAAACACTCGAAGGAGTACATCGCGACCCAGGGTCCGCTGCCCGAGACCCGGAACGACTTCTGGAAGATGGTTCTGCAGCAGAAGTCTCCGATTATCGTGATGCTGACGCAGTGCAACGAGAGGCGGAGGGTGAGTCCAGCTTTATACCCACTACATCCGGAACCAGAGTCACAGCTGCCCTCTGGTGGTCGGTTCCTGTTACTGCAGCTGTAGTTATGTGTGTCTGCCCCCCAGTGGTCGGTTCCTGTCACTAGTTTTTGGTCTGCGGTGTGTTCCAGGTGAAGTGCGACCACTACTGGCCGTTCACCGACGAGCTGGTGATGTACGGCGAGATCAGCGTGGAGATGATGTCAGAGACCAAGTCCCCCGAGTGGACCATCACCAAGTTCAGACTGGGATACGTGAGTGTCGCCACGGTAACAGCTCGTCTCCTAACCGGTATTTGCGTTGATTTGACATGACTCTCCGTCGCCCCCTTCAGGCCGACGAGACTCAGGACGTCCTGCACCTGAACTACACCTCGTGGCCGGACCACGGCGTCCCCACCGTCAACGCCATCGAGAGCATCCTGCAGTTCGTCCACATCGTCCGACAGCAGGCGAACCGGACCAAAGACCCCATCATCGTCCACTGCAGGTGAGGACAGAACCAGACCCGGGCAGAGCCTCGGCGCCCTCTGGTGGACACACCGAGGACGTCAGAACTCTGAGTCTGACCAACAGGAGAGACGATGATTAATCTGGTTTACAGACTTTATTTATTTGAATCTGATTCATACCTTGAATGATCACTGAACACTTTGTTCCATCGTTTTGAAGTCTGACTTCTAGAATTCTATTTTTTTCCGCCTTCATCTCCGTCTGTTCGTGAAGCGACGCAGCAGCTTCCTGACTCTGTTCAGATCTGCTGTGAACTAATTGATGATGAATAAATGATGAACGTGTGAATAAATGATGAAGTCGGAGCCGACAGACGACTCAACGTCTCTGGTTCTGGTTTTACAGGAACATCAGATTCATCACATTTAATCCTGGTTTTCAGAACGCTTTACATTTCTAGTGTTTCTCCTCCTCTGCTCTGTGAGAACTCTGACTGCTGGTCCCAGCCGAGTCGGTTCTGGTTTCATCATTTCATCGAGGAGTTCAGAGTCTTTGGGTTTTCATAGAATCTGTTTTTGGCAGGTTTCGATAAACATCAGTATCGTGATGCATTCAGGGACTGGAAGCTGAAAATCTGGTGATTCTTTCTGTTCTTACGGTTCTGGCTGATAAATGGGTCAGTTCAGACGTTTTCAGAGGGAACCCGTCCTGTAACAGCTAACTGGGAGGTTTTAGGGTTCAGTGGGTCCAAGAGGTTCTGGTCAGAGTCAGAACCGAGCTGCATGTTGACACCAGGCCTCGGTATGAAAGCTGTGACGCTGTGGAGGCTGAAACAGGATGAACTGTAGAGACAGAAACTTCTGGTTCTGAGCGGGTCGGTTCTGCTGAGGTTTCATTTCCTGACAGCGAACCGTAAAACGATGACCTAACGTCCCTCATGTCGTTCATTACTGGGCGCGTTGCCACGGTAACAGCAGCAGAGGCTCCCTGTGTTCTGATTGGACGCCTGTCTGTCTGTCTGTCTGTGTGTGTGTGTGTGGTTCAGCGCCGGCGTCGGCAGAACCGGAACCTTCATCGCTCTGGACCGACTGATGCAGCACATCAGGGAGCACGAGTTCGCCGACATCCTGGGGATGGTGTCAGAGATGAGGTCACACCGACTGTCCATGGTGCAGACCGAGGTCAGACACACACACACACACACACACACACACACACACACACACACCTATACACACCTACACACACCTATACACACACACACACATCTACACACACCATCTGTACAAGTCAAACATCGTCTGATTGAACGGTTAGGAGCTGATCAGCTGTTCACTGCGGCTGTGATCAGGATCAATAACGTGATCGGTTTGTGTGTGTGTGCTGTGCAGGAGCAGTACGTGTTCATCCACCAGTGTGTGCTGCTGATGTGGCAGAAGAAGAAACAGTCGAGCATCACGTCAGACGTCATCTATGAGAACGCCAGTAAAACATAAGACACGTGAGTCACATGACCAGAGATCAATCACATGATCAATCACATGACCAGAGATCAATCACATGATCAATCACATGACCAGAGATCAATCACATGACCAGTCACATGACCAGTGATCAATCACATGATCAGTCACATGATCAGGAGAAGGTAGGAGGTCATGAAGCTCAGCCTCTGTTCACGACAGCGGATCGAATTCTAAAATACCATCGTTCACACAAACCCTCATGAACATGCGGTTAAGAGCTGCTATGAGCTGCCAGACCTGTAGGGGGCAGTGGCCTCAGACCTCTGACCTGCTGCTCTGCTGTGTTTCAGGCTGGACGCTGCCTCCTGAGCTTCAGACCTCCATCTGTGCAGAAGAAGAAGAAGAAGAAGAAGAAGCGCTTCATCATCGTATCAACAGCAGAACATCTCAGCGAGAAACACCCACCGGCTCCCCACACTTTAGTTTGGTGTTACGGACGGACGCTTTGCCTTAAGGAGCCTTCACCGACTGGACCGCCACCACCCGATTCATCCACCAGGCTCCGAGCGGCGCCGACCTGCCGAGTCCTGAACCGACACCACGAGGACCCGATCAGCAGAAACACGACACTTCATTTATGACTTCATCTCAGGAGTGGCTGAAGAACCAGCAAGCACACGACCTCCTGCTCCTCCTGCCACCAAACTACTGCCACCGCCAAGAGTCCCAGCCGGCCAGGACTCAGCAGACATCCACAGAACATCCAGAACACGTCCAGAACACGTCCAGAACACGTCCAGCGAGCAGCGCGTCTGCAGCCACATGAGCACAACGGTACCTTCAGCTGTTTGGGTCCAAACACTAAAACCAATGTCCACTGACAGGAGGCGCCGGACTTTGAGGAACATGTTGAACGTTTGAGCTGCTAAAAGATGTCGGGTCCAAACTGGTGACTGTTCTGGTTCTGAACATCTGAAGGCACAGAGACAGAAGCGGGTCGGAGCCTCGTGACGCTGCTGTTTGCATGTTGAGGCAGTTTAACGTTTAGACGATTCTCGTGTAGAAGCTGTAGTTTGGATTTGCACTGAGGACAGAACCACCAACCCGGTTCTGACAGCAGAACTGGACCCGGTTCTGGAGGCTCCGATCAGACAACAGAAGCAGACAAACTGCTTGAGCTCCAGTTGGAGGCGACAGAAACAAACATATCTGCTCTGAGTCGACCCGAACCGACCCCAGAACCAGAACCTGCTCATATCAGAGTTTAGCTACAAACTTCAAACCTGCAAAGATGAACCGTCCAGAACCGTCCAGAACCGTCCTTCTCACTCAAACATTCACTGTTTCTGTTACAACAGAGTGTCTGAAGATCCTCAGTCCTCCAGGTTCTGGTTCTTCTGGTAGTTTAATGGTAGCAACTGGACCTGCTTGAGTTCCTTGAAGACGTTCCACCTCCATCCAGGAGGCTTCATCAGCTCTGACTGACTAGTTGGGAGTTCCACATCCTGATATCCCGAAGGAGCCACTAACACCTGAATTTGGGTTTAATTGGGGGTTTGTTGCTCCTCCCCCTCGTTATGTGGGTCGTTAGTGCTCCCCCAGCCACAGTGGGGTTCGTTAGGGTCTTAGGTGTGGATGTGGGTTCATCTTCAGGTGAGAGGTGATGCCTCAGACCAGGGAGGACCAGGTCCAGTTGCTACGATTAATCCACGAGAAGAACGTACAACAGAACCTTCAAACAATGTTTTACATCCGAACCCAAAGTTCAGGTTCTGAATTACAACTAGGACGACGACCTCTGAGACACGTTGACTGGAAATAAACAAAAGTTTAGTTTAAAACCCAGACACGTTGGTTCTGACCCGCATTCCACGCTTCAGTTTTATTTATTGGGTTTTCAGTTTGAACACTACGTGAACTTTCACACTACAGTCGGTTCTGATCGCACATTTAGTTCCGACAGTTTGTCTCTCGTTAATCACGACGATCCAGTAAAACGCCGAAGTTAGTTTTTAAAAAGTTCTTCTGATTCTCCACAGAAGTAGAAGTTCTGGAGCAAAGTTCTGCTGAGCATCAACCCGACGTCACATCAAACCGCTCAGTCGGTCAAACAGAGTTCACAGGTTTGCCTCAAAAAAAGAGAAGATCCCAGAGTTTAGGTTCAAAGTCGGTTTATTAAACTCATCATGAACATTCTTGTTGTTAATTAGCTGTGAGCCGCGTTTCTCTTCCATCGACATTAAAGTTCAACTTAAAGCCACAGTTTGGATTTTAGACACAACAAACGGCACGTTTGACTTTTTATACTCGAGTCCCAACATTTCTCTGCATGAACTGTTTCTGACGTTCACCTGCAGCCTGAACGTTTAAACATTTATTTAAATCTTCACTGATTTAGTTGAAATGATTCAAAGAGCAAAACGCTGCTCGAAGCATTTTCATGATCATTTAGAAAATCTGCCTCGAAAACCAGCTTACATCCAGTTTCTCATCCTTCAGACTTGTTGTAATGAAACAGTGAATGAAGACCTGCTGCTGGCTGGTGGCGCCCCCTGCTGGCTGCGGCGCCCCCTGCTGGCTGCGGCGCCCCCTGCTGGCTGCGGCGCCCCCTGCTGGCTGCGGCGCCCCCTGCTGGCGGCCGGACGTCGGTTCGGGTCGACTCTTGTTCTGTACAGAAACGCCTCGGAGCCGTTTTACTGCTTCGTTCGGTGGCTTCGTTGTGATTTTGCATCTTTCTACTGAAGATTTGACTTGAAGGAACAAAAACAAACGTTTCTGACTCACACTCAGTTCAGGGTGTCGCCAAAATAAGAGCTGCAGCAAACAGCTTCACAATAAAAGCTTCAACAGACGTCACTGGACCAGTGGAACCAGTTTCATTCATCTAACTGGACACAACTCTGACAGAACGGAACATTACAAGTTTGTTTCTGAGGTTCTGAAATCCGTCAGCGTCTTATTAATTTTGACAGTAACCGTCTCAAACTGTCAACAAAAAAAGCCTGAAGATGATCCATATAAACATTAAATCACTTTTTATCATTTTTAATTTTAAGGTGGAAATCTTTATATTCAGTAAATTAAATTTATTAAAACATTTGTACAATTTGTTGAAACTAATTTGATCAAAATAAAAAACTAAGTTTAAAAAAGACCTCCCTGAACGTTGAGGATTCTGGTGCCGATACAGAAATTAAACAACTAATTAATCAAACATTAACGACAGACTTCATCACTTCCAACAACTTTCAATAAAAACTAGAACATCTGTTAGAATCAGGTTTTTATATTAAACTCTACATTTACATGAACAGCTGAACAGACTCTCTGTTTACACGTTGTTGTTGTTGTTGTTGTTGTTGTTGTTTGATGTCAACACAAATAGAAAATATCCCAAATTGTCCTTTAAGTCTTTGTGATATTTACATTTATTCGTGTTATCCTGGATGACTGGTTTAATCAAAATAAATAAATTAACTGAAACATCCTGAGACTGAAAATTTAAATTCGGACCCAAAATCTGCAGAAATGTTTACATTTCAAGACTTTGGAGCCGATTTAAAACTAACTTTGATCGTGTTTCTGTCAAACTAACGATAAAATTATAAACTCTTGGTGCGTTTTCATCTCGATTTCACTAAAAGCTGCTGAGCTCCAAGCTGCATCTGAAGCTTTTATTTTGAAGGGCAGCTGTTCCCTGTATTTCGGCGACACTCTGTTCTCACTTTGTACAAAACTGAAATAAGTCGTTGAATGTGTGTGAAAGGCTGCTGGACTCTGTGGCCTTTGATTCTTTACCTGTCGGCGGAGTCGGACCTCGGCCGGGTCAGACTTCGGTTCTGTCGCCTCTGGATCTGAAACCTTCACTGTTAGATATCAGACGTACTGTACATACTACTACTGCTTAATACTCTGTTTCTACTCGTCATTACTGAGTACTTCTTGTGAAATGTTGCTTTAGAGGTTCGTTTTTTAAAGTTGTTGTAAATGTGAATCATCGTTTTCTGAGCCAGAAGCCGAACTCGGCGGCGTCTCGTGGACTCGGAGGACTCGTCTGAGAAACGCACTTTGGTACGGCTGTCGGGAAACGCTTCTGAAACCTTCAGAAAACGTTCCGGCAGCTCAGCACTGAACACTTCTACAGTTCTTTCTCTTTGCTTCGTGTTTGTCGGTCGACTCGTTCGTCATTGGTGCCATTCTCGTGCATTGTGTCACTTACAGTTTAAAGGCTGTCACAGAGTTTTAATGTGTGTGTTGAACAAAATAAAATGTTGCAGTTACACCTGTTGGTTCTACTTCCTGTCCACGGTC